TAACATGCATCCTCTTTCCCGTAATAAGGTCCTTTGTCTCTAACCCAGGTGTCTCATCTTCTGCCAGCAGTCACGACACAATAACAGGCTAATTTATTAATTTCTAAATAAAGCAACCCTGACAGTCTGTTTTCTTGCCTACTTTTTGCTTAAAGAGCTCCATTTCTGGGCCAGGCGCGGTGGCTCACGCCTGTAATCTCAGCACTTTGGGAGGCCAAGGCGGGCAGATCACGAGGAGATCAAGACCATCCTGGCTAACACGGTGAAACCCGTCTCTACTAAAAATACAGAAAAAAATAGCCGGGCGTGGTGGTGGGCGCCTGTAGTCCCAGCTACTCTGGAGGCTGAGGCAGGAGAATGGCATGAACTTGGGAGGCAGAGCTTGCAGTGAGCCGAGATCACGCCACTGTACTCCAGCCTGGCCGACAGAGCAAGACTCCGTCTCAAAAAAAAAAAAAAAAGAAAAAGAAAAAAAGAGTTCCATTTCTGACACCCAGTATCTGGATAGTACAAGCTAAAACCTTTAAGAAAATAAATCTCTTCTCACAGGAAGAGTTCTGCCTCTTAAAATCCTTTTGTCACCATGCCTGAACACCCAAACTGTCCTTGCCCTATAAGATAAAGGTACACAGTTAGGTATTTTCCCCTCTGTTGATGCCTGAAAATCCTGCAGATATCGGAACTCAGGCCTTAGAAAATTCTGTACCCAAGAATTTGCAATTCTCTTTGGAAAGTTGAAAGCACCTTTAAAAGCCACAATTTGCAAGCCAGGTGATGCACTGTAACATAACGCGGAAGACATGAGGGCTGCTTCCTCAGATCCTAACAATCCCATTGCCCCACTACCAGAGCAAAACGATCCCCCTCCCAGAGAATGCACCTCGCCAGAGGCCAACCCACCCGGTACCTCAAGTTCCCCTCCACCACGGCCCCGCCCCTCCTCCTGTAGATCCCGCCTCCTCCGTACCCTCGGGCCAATCAGAGGGCGGCGTCCCCTCGCGGTTGCCATGGTGGCCACCGAGTCCCTCCCATCACTCACCAGATGTGCCGCGGCTCGGCCAGGCGGTGGAAACGGGTGGCGAAGGACAGCAGCGTCACCAAGGCCAGCAGGGCCCACCGGCCGGCCGCCTCGAAGCGCTGTGAGCCCCGGGCAGGCCGTTTGGGGCTTCGCGCCGCAGCCTCGGTGGCCACGTCCCGGCCTGCGGCCCTAGCAGCCTGGGGCCCACAGCGGCCCCTCCGGGAACGCAGTTCGGACTCTGCCAGGCCTCCGCCCGTGGCCGGCGGCATCTTCCCCCTCCTCCGGGTCGCCCACCAGCCCAGAGGCACACTCTGACCAGCCGCCCCGCCAGGGAGTCACAGGAGGGCAGCTCGGGGTACCCCGGGAAATGCAACTCCCTTCCGCGGCAGCGGAGTGCGGGGCCCCGGGCTCGGGGCGGGGCGGGCAGCGTGGTCGCGGCCCGGGCCGCTAGGAGGCGGCAGGAGGCGCAGAGCATGTCGGGACCGGGAGGGCCGGCCGGCCCGAGGGGGGACTGTGCAGGAGGGGTCGGGCTCAGGGAACTGCAACTCCCAGCAGCCCCCGGGTACGGGGCGTGGCAGGAGGGCTGGGCGTGCCAGAGGCGACCGGAAGGATCATTGTAGTCCATCCAGACCCTCGCTTTATCCGGACGAAAGCTACGGGCCTGACTCGTCGAGTTTCACTGGGCCTTAGTTGTTGGCGAGTCCCAGGCGCGAAGTTTCTCGGCCTAGAGGAGGGGTCGCGCGAAGTGCCACATGCAGGCGGGGAAGGTCTGTGCCGCGCACCCGGGTGGAGGGAAACTGGTTAGACACTTGGAGACCCTGGGGGGCGGGGTCAGAGGTGAGCTGCTCCGCCCGCCCAGCAGACAAAGACTCCCGGCGTGCCGTGCGTTGCGCCGGGCACGCTCTGCGCCTGCGTGCTGCACGCTGCCCGCTGGGTCTCGAATTCCCCGGAGGGTTGGGCTGGGGGAGGAGGCGGTCCTGGTGGGGAGTTCGTAGCCAGGTGGAGTCGCTGTCCGGACGCGCTTCATTTCTGCCCCGCCCTCCCTGCTCCCCTTAACAGACCCCTCCACTAGGGCTTCCAAACGTCGCCCCAAGCTTCCCAGTTTCTCGCAGCCCTTCATGCTCCTCTCTTGGCCCTAGCAGGAGATGGCCTTCCAGTAATGTTTGTATTGTAAGAGTCCCTGGGCAGGGCGCGGTGGCTCACGCCTGTAATCCCAGCACTTTGGGAGGCCGAGGCGTGCGGATCACAAGGCCAGGAGATCGAGACCACCCTGGCTAACACGGTGAAACCCCCGTCTCTACTAAAAATACAAAAATTAGTCGGGCATGGTGGCGGGCGGCTGTAGTACCAGCTACTTGGGAGGCTGATGCAGGAGAATGGCGTGAACCCGGGAGGCGGAGCTTACAATGAGCCAAGATCGGCCAGTGCACTCCAGCCTGGGCAACAGAGCGAGACTCCGTCTCAAAAAAAAAAAAGTCCCCGAGCGAGGAGAGGCAGTCATGACAATCACCTGGGGAGCTTCACGGCTTTCACATGTTCTTCCCCGGGGGCCGCTCCAAAGCCACTCTTCATCTCTGGTGGAACGGGCCCAAGAATCTGCATGTTTTTGTAAGCGGTCCTGATGGGTCTTAACGCGCCGTAAAGTTTGAGAACCACTTTTATGGCACTAAGGAAGGTGGCACGTTAGATGGGACTTTGTGTCACGTTAATAAGGTATAGTCCTCCCTCTTCCAAATGGGATTTTAGGAGTCTTTTTCTCAAATCATGTGTAAGACATGGTTTAAAAATAAAATCTGCTAAAGTAATCAGAATGCATATTTGAATTGGAAACAAGTCTTCCAGGAGTGCTGATGAGATGGATACTTGGGCTTAAAATTTAGTTCTACAAGTGCAGAAAGGAACGGGGGATGGTTTGCATAGGTATCACTGGTAAGAGAAAGCAGAAAATGCTTAAGAGATTTCAGGTTTCCTGCTTGTGGGTTGTGATGGAGGGGAGCAGCGTTTACCATGCTTTTGGTCATTCGTAGTACAGATCCAAAGGTGTAATCCAAAGGCATTTAACCATTAGGTAAGGCATTTCTTCAGGGATTCTAAGCCAATTAATATCTGCCACTCTCTAGTGGTCACCAGCAGTCCCTGTCCCTTGGCCCCAGGGCCCCTGTAGCCTGGCTAAGTAAGGAAAGGGGACTGCATCTCCAAATAAGAAAGATCCAGTTGTGGCCACCCAATTCCTCCTCTTCGAAAGGCACTTTCTGCCCATCGCCTGCTTTCTGTGCCAGGACCATCTTTACTTTCCCCACAAAAGGTACCTTCAGGACAGGCTGGGACTCCTGGGCTTGGGAACCACCTTGGAAGGGCCTAGGTTCCCACTTGTACCCTTGCCATCTAGCAGACTGAGTTGGTAGTACAGGGATGGTGAAAGCAGGTTCAGGGAGCAGCTTAATATTCTGGGGGTGGCAGAGGGGAGAGGGAGCTTTGGTGAAATGTCTCTAGTCAGAGGGGTAGTAAACAGGGTATCTGAGAAGTTCTGTCAAGTTCTCCCCCATCCATAGGGATACACGTGTTGGTGGGAAGGTTCATGAGTGCTAATCACTGGCGAGTCTTTCCTGGGTTCCACTTGGAAATGCTGGCTCCCCAAGAAGTAGCAGAGAAATTAACTTTGAGCCCCTTAAACTTTGGAGTAGAGATCACACACCCAGCTGCCCCCAAGGGCCCAAAGGTAACAAAAATTAGGAAAGTGGGCCAGATACAGGCCATGGCAGACCTTAGAGGGCATACCCTGGTTGATGGGGGCCATCAGTATGTTCCCATCAATTGTTGGTATTTAGGAGCCCAAATCTACTGTCTCCAGATTTTTTAAAGAAAAAAACAGGTGTTGTATATAAAATATCATGATTTTTATTTTTTATTTTACTTTATTTATTTTGAGATGGAGTCTTGCTCTGTCCCCTAGGCTGGAGGGCAGTGGCACTATTTTGGCTCACTGTATCCTCCGCCTCCTGGGTTCAAGCAATTCTCATACCTCAGCCTCCCGAGTAGCTGTGATTACAGATGCACACCACTACACCTGGCTAATTTTTGTATTTTCAGTAGAGATGAGTTTCGCCATGGTGGCCAGGCTGGTCTCGGACTCCTGACCTCAGGTAATCTGCTGTCCTCAGCCTCCCAAAGTGCTGGCATTACAGGCATGACCCACCACACTAGAACGAAATGTCCTGATTTTTAAACATTGGCAACTACCTGAAACATTTTAAACTACTGTGTTGAGCAAACAGAAATTCTGAGGGCCAGATAGGGCCCCAGTGGGCTGCCAGCTTTTGACCTCACCTTTGGGGTGAGTGAGCATATCTGCCAGCTGTTTTTATGGGGATAGCTGAGAACCTGGACTGCTGGGAGGTGGGGTTGAAGGAGACAGGCACCAAAGCATCAAAAAGTTAGAATTCCTCGTCTTTCTGCATTGCTAGAAGGAATCCCTGCTATCATTTTAGGGCAACCCTTCGTTTTACAAATGAGGGAACCGAAGATTAAAGAAGGCCGAGGTTTGTCCAAGGTCATGCAGAGCTGGTTCCTGCACCAGGTCCAGACCAGATGCCAGCTCCCAGCCCGCTCTACCACTCAAACTACTGCATCACAACCAGGCCATGCTCTGTGGGGGGACACCAAACCTGGCCCCAGCAGGAGCGTAAGAAACTTCCAGCAAGTTGGGAAAAAATGCCCTTTCCTTTTTTTTTTTTTTTTTTTTTTTTGGAGATGCAGTCTCGCTCTAGAGTACAGTGGCTCGGTCTTAGCCCACTGCGACCTCCACCTCCCGGGTTCAAGCTATTCTCTTGCCTCAGCCTCCTGAGTAGCTGAGATTACAGGCACCCACTACCATACCTGGCTGATTTTTTTTGTGTTTTCAGTAGAAGCAGGGTTTCACCATGTTGGCCAGGATGGTCTCAAACTCCTGACCTCAAATGATCCGCCCACCTTGGCTCCCAAAGTGCTAGGATTACAGGCGTGAGCCACTGTGCCTGGCCAGAAATGCCCTTTCTGACCAGAGTCAAAGTTCCCCCAATGCCTGGGTAGCCCAGCTTCCCCATTGGCTCCTGAAATCCACCCCTTTAGGTTTCCTTTCCCTGCTCAGAAGCTCTGCCAGAGGGGACATTCCCTGGGAGGCTGAGGGTCACCACGATACCATGACAGAGTCTGGCAAGGTAAGGAAGGCACTCGCAGACTGGCTGCCCCTTTGGGGGCCCCTTGGACCTCAGGAGCTCAAACCAGCACAATTTTGGAGCCAAGGGACTTCACGAGCCTCTCAGAGAGCTCCGAGTCTTGACCTGAGTTGCCCAGATGCAGGCCTGAGAGAGGAGGCCTGGCAGGATAGGAAGAAACGGTTGACTCCTCCCGAGCTGGAGCCCACCCAGCATGTGTTAACACGCGCCTTCATCCTCTCTCCTCAGCCCATCCTCTATTCCTATTTCCGAAGCTCCTGCTCATGGAGAGTTCGAATTGGTAAGAGCTGTGCCTCCTCCAGACTGAGTGCTGGAGTGGGGTGGACTGGGGTGGAGAAGCTGGCCTGGGATGGAAGGGGTGCTCTGTCAGAAAGGACCTCACCCCCAGCAACCAGCATCCCCCGACTCCTAGAACCCCCGTCCCTTCATGGCATCTCCACCCCGGAAACGCAGGGTGAGGGTGGGAGGAAGGGGGTTGTTTTTTTTCTTGGGACTGACACTTCTCCCAACACTGCTCTCCAAAGCCCCTTGGCAACCGTGTTTAAAGCAGGGTCACAAAATCCATATGCCCCTGGTAACTAGCAGGGGAACAGCTGGCCTCCCTCAGTTCTTATCTTATTTGAACTGGCAAAGCAAACAGAATGGACCAGCGGGCCAGCGTCAGCCTTGAAGGCTTCAGAAAAGCAGAAACAAGGGCCCTGTGGCTCGTCCTTTTTTGACCCTTCCCTCCCTCGGCTTAACACAGCATTTGGCAAAGGCTGTACTGTACTGAGGGAAAGCTCTGTGCCGAGTGCTTTTGTGTGCCTGATTCCATTTAAACCTCAACAACTGTAGGAGGGAGGTACTATTACTGTCCCCATTGTATAGAGGAGGAAGCTGAGGCACAAAAAACTGAGGCAACATTAAGTAACTTGCCCAAGATCATTCAGCTACTAAGAGGCAGAACTGGAATTCAAACCATATAGTCTGGCTCCAGAGGCCTATTAAGTTACTTGCCCAAGGCCACACAGTTAGCAAGTGACTGTGTTGAAATTTGAACCCAAGAAGCTTGCCTCCAGAGTGTGGAGGCAAAGCTATCCTCTATGACCCCTCCTCCATCCCGCAGTCACTTGGTATTTGCTGGGATCAGTAAGCAAGAGCCCTGGGTGCCAGGAGAAACTTTCCTCCAGGAAGATGAACCCATCCCTGGGTGCTAGTGCCTCTGCCCTGGCTGAGCCAGAAGCCAGAAGCCAGAGCAATATAGGTGCTGTCTGTAGGGCCTGTGTGCTTTGGCCTTCCCTCCTCCAGGTGTCTCCTCCAGCCCCAAACACTGTCACTCCCCAGACTGGAGTTGACCGGCACTAGGAGTAGCCTGGTGTTGCCCAGGCTGTCTCTACACCATGACATGTCTGGTCCTTCTCCCCTCATTCCTTTGCCCTTCCCTGAGATTGGCCATCACCATACTTGAATGCCCAAGTGCGCATAATACACTCACGCATGCACACGCACGCAGTCTTCTCCACCAGTGCTGACCCACCCAAGTTTTTTTACCCTCAGCTTGCCAGGGGAAATTATCAAAAGGGATGGAGAGAAAATCTGGTGACTGGAGTCACAGCAAATGCACTCCAAGGCCACCAAGGAGCCCAATGCCTGTCTGGAATCTCTAGTAAACAGCCCTGAGAACAGAGAGAATAGATTGGAAGAGATCCTTTTCCAACAGAACAAGAGTGCCATCTGTGTGTGCTCTGTGTGGCCACCTGAGCTCCTTCACTTGGCGCTTAGTTGCTTTCTTGGAGTAATTGCATGTCTCCAACCAAGACACTGGTCATCACTGTGTAAGGCCCTGGGGGAGCAGAGGTAAACACGACACACCCTTGCTGTCCTCCAGGAGCCCACGGAGTGGCGGGGCACACACCTTTATCACCACCCAGCGGGCATGAGGGCCCCATTGGGGGGTCCAGATCATGAGGTCTCTAAGAGTTCAGGGGTGAGCGAGGCAGAACATCATGCATCTGGGGTAGGGAGCAGGTGGTAACAAGGAAAGCTGGAGAGAAGGGGATAGTGCCAAGGTGAGCCTTGACCACCCAGAAGTGTAGAGAAGCCTCCCCCTCTTTGGCCTTATGTCACCCTAGAAGGGCTCTTTTCTTTAAGAGTATGGCCAGAGGCTGTTCCCTGACTCTGCTATCTGTGGTCTCTCCTAGCTCTGGCCTTGAAAGGCATTGACTATGAGACGGTGCCCATCAATCTCATAAAGGATGGGGGCCAACAGGTAAGAAAGCTGTTCCCAGACCACAAAGTGGGAATTGGAGGCCTTGAAGAGGCACTAGGCAGGGGAAGAAGGGGAGGCTCTGCCCCAGAGAAGTGAACCTGTGTCTTGTGGACTGTCACTGCAAGAGGCTGCTGGCTCTCCCTTGTGGGACAGGGTGGCACGCTGTGCAGTAGCAGGAGGCCTGGGAAGGGCCCAGGTCCAGGCTGTGTACCCCAGCCTGAGTTCTCCAATGCCTGACCCTGGGAGGGTGGGTGGCGAGTGGGTCCCCACCCCATACTGGGCCCTCTGGATGGCTGACTAGGGTAGGAGCCGCCTTGGTGGCCATGGTGTGAGATGCAGGGAAAAGCCCATAGCCAGGCTGTTAGGATGAAGCCTATGGCTCAGCAGCCGCTGGGGTTTGGGATACTTCATGGATCCCCCAGGGATTACCCTGGGCCTAGGATTTAGGGCCTTCCCAGGGAAGGGAGAGGGGGGTGGGCGGCAGGCCTGGGGTTCTCCGGCTTGCTTGGTTCTCCTCTGGCCAACACAGTCCAGGCCACCCAGCCCACCAGGGCCTTGTCTCCACAGTTCTCTAAGGACTTCCAGGCACTGAATCCCATGAAGCAGGTGCCAGCCCTGAAGATTGATGGAATCACCATTCACCAGTCAGTGAGTGCAGGGCCTAGGGGAGGGCCCTCGTGAGAGCAGTGTCCTGAATGAGAGCGCCTGACATGTCTTCCTCGCCTGTGTATGGTCAGGGTGCCTAGCACATAGGAGAGGCTCAATACAACGCTCATGGGGAGGGTGGGAGGTTGTTGAGGAAAATAAAGGAAGATTCAAGCACATGGAGAACCAAGTTCTGCAGGATAAGGTCCAAAATGGCTTTATAGGGCTTGAGCTGAGGAGGTGGAGGGAAGAGGTGTAGTGATGGTGCTGGAAGAGGAGGAGGAGGAGTTTGCTGGCCCTGTCCCCTCTGACCTAGGGTTCCTGGGCCCTGTCCCTGCCTCACTGCTTCCCTCTGGACAGCTGGCCATCATTGAGTATCTAGAGGAGACGCGTCCCACTCCGCGACTTCTGCCTCAGGACCCAAAGAAGAGGGCCAGCGTGCGTATGATTTCTGACCTCATTGCTGGTGGCATCCAGCCCCTGCAGGTGTGGCACTTGTACACTTGCACCCTTGCACACCTCACACACTCTTACATTCACACATTGGCTGTGTGAGCTGCCCATTGTGGGGGCGGGTGCCCAGTATGGGGGCGGGGGCGTCAAGGGAGGGAGGGGGATTGGATTCTCAGGGGCTTTGACCTGGACCATGTGAAAGAAGGGGGCAAAGATCTCAATCTCAGAAATCAGCCGTCCCAGCTGGTCCCCTACTGCGTTCCGAGAAGCTCTAGTTTCTAAGGACGCATGTACAGGTGCTTGAGGTGGGGAAAGGGCCAGGATGGCAGGGGAGACTCTGAGCAGGCCCCAGGCCAGGCCTCCCGCCTTTAACCAGAGGGGCTTGCCTTTCATCTGTGCTATCTCGGTCATACACTGGGATACACGTAGGATTTTATTTTGTAAGTGTCACTGTTAAAACAGACAAGTAAGTATTAAAAACAGTTTATCTGTACCAGCTTCTACTCTGAATGAGGAAATAGCCCCAGAAAGGTGAAGTGACTTATGCTGAGTCCCACAGGTAGGTCCTAGCAAAGTGGGGACTAAGTCAGGACCCCTGCATGCCTGTGCCCCCCACTCCCATGTCATTTTAACAAAGGATGTTGGAGCAAACAGACATCTCCATTTTGAGGAAATAATATTCCTCCATAATGAGGAAACAGGTAAAATGGCTCCAGGAGTGCCAAGATGGAGCCAGGCTGGAAATCTCTGAAAGCCAGTCCTGTGGACCTCCCTCATCCCAGCCCCACCCTCTATCACACTCCGTCTGCTCACAAGGGACCACACAAGGGAGAAGTGAGGGAGACAGGCCTGAGTTGTAGGCACACCTGCCACAGCCATGGCCGCGTCTTGTGTCACATGAATAGGGATTCATGCACATCTCTGACGGAATTACGTGGCTTTTTGAGGCCACTGGGGCAGCCTGTGAAGGTGGCTGCTGGGATGGCTACCTCCCTCCAGCCTCAGGGCCCTGGTAGAAGGAAGGGGCTCATGGAGCCTGGGGGGAGAAGGGATAGATATGTCCAGCCAGGGGCGGATGGGAAGTGAACTTCCCTGAAGGGGTTTGGCCAAGGGGCAGTCCCCACCCAGCTCTCAGAGCAATCACAGACTTTCTTTGGGCTGCATAGAACCTGTCTGTCCTGAAGCAAGTGGGAGAGGAGTTCCAGCTGACCTGGGCCCAGAACGCCATCATTTCTGGATTTAACGGTGAGTCCTCACCCTGTGAGCTGCCCCACAGTGGCCTCTTAGAGGTATGGCCCTCGAACACAGGGGCCTGGGTATCTGAACCACCCTCCCAGGCTGCTTTGGTCCTGACAGTTGCATGGGTGAGGGCAGGACTCGGGAAGCGAAGGGCTGGGTGGGCCTCCAGACCTTAGCTCCAGTGCTTCCAGGAACCTTGGTCCCTGCACCCACAGCCCACAGCCCTTCATAGCTGGGTGGCCCAACTTCAGCTTCACTGCCCACTCCAGCCAGGAAGCCAAGGCCAGCACAGTGCCAGCCACCAGAGTGAGAGCTGCCACGGCGGCCAATGGCAGGGCTTGTCCACTCTAGTGGGGGAAATGGTGGCTGGCTCTGCGGAGCCTAAGGAGACAGAAGCTTGTCCCTAGCAGCTCTCTTCAGACCTGGCTGCCAGTTCTCGCCAGCAGCCGTGCTCAGTCTGTCACTCAGTTGGGCGCTCATTTCATAACTATGGAGGCCAAGGCCCAAAAAGCTTGGTGTCCCCTTCCTGCACCTAGCATAAGATGTTTATGTGGCCTCTCCACAGCCCTGGAGCAGATCCTACAGAGCACAGCAGGCACATACTGTGTAGGAGATGAGGTAAGCTGTCCCCAGGCCTCCCCAGGCCCAGCCACAGCGGCCGCCTCCCTCATGCTGACCCCAGGCTGTCACTTTCTTCCCCTTAGACTCAGCCATCTCTCACACCCTGAGGCAGGTGGGGCTCAGAGCTTCCTGAGGAGGCATCTGCAGGGGGATCTCTGCTGTGGGGCGCTCTTCAGCTCACTCCCAGTACACTAAACCATCTCAAGAGGGAGTTACTCAAGGTAGAAGACTGGCTGTGAGAGGATGAGGCAGGCCAGGCGTCAGTTGAGGGATTGCACTAGATGATGTCTGCGCAGTCCAGGCAATCCATCGTCTCTGGCCTTCTCAACCCACAGAGTTGGTTGTCAGGGCAACTGGAGCACGGCCTGGGAGGGCACTTCAGCTCTGGGGGACAGACACACATGCAGGCCTAGGGCAGACAAGAATTGAGGGCGGGATGGGTGAAAGAGCCAAAGCAGATCGTTGGTACCCCCAGTAGAGTTGCAGTGGACATACCAAGTCCAGCCAGTGAGTCTGGGGTACTCACCCTGATGGGAACCCACCCAACCCTCTTTCAGGTGACCATGGCTGATCTGTGCTTGGTGCCTCAGGTGGCAAATGCTGAAAGGTAAGAGAGAGCCCTGCCACCCTCCCTTCTCCTGGCTCTGCCCACAGTCAGTTACCACTCAGCTGGTGAGGTAGCATCTCATGCAGACTCTTCACAAACCAGCCAAGGGGCCCACCATGCCAGGCCACACAGCCACTTTGGCCTGGAAGAGGGCAGAAGAAATTGGGGCAGTGCTCCTACCACACCCACCACAGCCCAGATGATACTGTATAGATAGCCCCTGCTCCTAAGAGGAGGTGGCTCACCTGGTGGACCCCCAAGAGCACCTGCCCGATGTCCTCAGATGTGGTGTGTCTGTGCCCAGAAGTGAGCTCTACCTCTGCATCCCTCCATCAACCCTTCAGTAGGGCACGAATGAGCGCCTCTCTGGAAGGCATCATGCTAGGCGTTAGGGAAATGGAAATGTCTGGCACATTCCCTGCCCCCAGGAAGCTTACAACAAGGGGGAAGAGAGAGTCTGTATATATAAATGCCTAGCACTGGGCCTTACACATAGTAGGTTCTCAAAGAAATAGGAATAGTAGGTAACAGATGCCAAACTGCACAAGACCTACCCATCTCCTATGAATAAGGGCTGCCCCATCGTCCTTCCCTGGACAGCTCCCTGGACCTCGTCCAGCCCTGCCTTCTGCTCCTCCTGCTGCATCAGGGCAGTCTCCCTGTGTCCCTGAAAACCGTGGCTTAGCAGGTGTTTCTCTACTACAGATTCAAGGTGGATTGCACCCTCTACCCTACCATCAGCTCCATAAACAAGAGGCTGCTGGTCCTGGAGGCCTTCCAGGTGACTCACCCCTGCCGGCAGCCGGATACACCCACCGAGCTGAGGGCCTAGCTCCCAAATCCTGCCCCGTTGGCACAGGGCCACAGGAGCAGAAGCTGGGTGGGCTGAAGAGGCCTGGAAACAAGTGAGTTAATTGAGGAGACAGGAGACGCCAACTCTAGCCCTGGATCTGCCTTCCTGCTGAAACTTGTTCCCCCTCAGTCCCCTCATCTGTCAAATGCATGTGGGGTTGGGTAGGAAGATGCTGGGAGCAGCGGGGCAGGAATACTGTTATCTATATGACGGGGCAGTCGTGAAGCTGAGATGAGAATGTGGATTAAAATGCCTGGCATGCTCACCATAACACCACGGGAAGCCTGTGTGCCTTTTCTCATCTGCTTTTGTTGTGTCTGACTCCCAAGAATGCCCACGCTGAAATTTGGCATGAATTAAACTGAAGCCCAGGCCTCTACCTTGTTTGTCTAAGACTGAGCGAGGTTCCAGAAGACGAACACTGTCCCTAGCTGGAATCCCCTGTGCCGGGACCAGTAGAGGAAGTTAGTCAGCTGTTCGCCTACCCTGTGGCAGGCCTGGCCCATGGGACCTAAGGGCAATGAAGAGAAATACGCCCAAAAGCCTGCCTGAAAGAATCAGACAAGATCCAGGGAGATAACAGATAGAAGCAGGAAAGCATCTAGTGACCGCCTTAGTTCTCAGGGGTAGGAATGGTACTGTTGTTAAATGTTCCACTCCAGGCTGGGCGCAGTGGCTCATGCCTATAATCCCTGCACTTTGGGAGGCCGAGTCAGGTGGATCACTTGAGGTCAGGAGTTCGAGACCAGCCTGGCCAACATGGTGAAACCCCGTCTACTAAAAATACAAAAATTAGCCGGGTGTGGTGGCAGGTGCCTGTAGTCCCAGCTACTCAGGAGGCTAAAGTGGGAGAATGACTTGAACCTGGGAGGTGGAGGTTGCAGTGAGCCAAGGTCGTGCCAGTGCACTCCAGCTTGGGCGATAGAGTGAGACTTCATCTAAAAAAAAAAAAAATTCCACTCCAGTACTGAGAGGCCATTTGGCCCTCTCAACCCAGTCCCTCATCTTCAGGGCCAGCATTCTCCAGACCAGTCCCAGGATTAGGCACTCGAGGTAAATCCAGTCACAAATGGTGCTGGGAGCAGTGTGACCAGGCCAGCTCAGGAGACAAAGCATGTACCAGTGTACCACGGGCTGCCTGGGAGGGAGCAAGTTCCCATGCTTGGCAGTGTTCAGGCAGAACCAGGACCATCTCCGGGCAGAGATGCCGTAGGGAGATTGCGGTAGCTTCTGGGGATGAAATGAGATGAACTTTTTAGGACCTTTACCTCCTGAAGGCCCCACCTCTGAATACTGTTGTATTGGAGATTAAGTTTCAACATGAATTTTGGAGGGGACATAAACATTTAAATCGTAGCAAAGACCATCACCTTTTTACAGAATATTTTCCAGTAGGGGCTTCTCTCAAACGGCTGAGTGGTAAGTCAAGTCCTTCCTTTCCATATCACACTCAGCAGACACCTGATCCTGATATGCTAGAGGCCACAGGGAGGCTGGATACGCGGTCTTCCCGGAGCAGGAATGGCCACAGTGAAGGAAGAACAGTGGAGTGGCCTGATACTGGTAATTCCAACTCTAAGGAAGTAACAAGTTCCCAGAAATACTTCAGAAGGAGGAAAGCAATAGGGAGGTGCTGTCAGGAAATACCTGAGAAGAAAGCAAAAATTATAGGCTTGTGTTCCTGAGAAATTTTACATATCCATTAAGGAAAGTGGCAAACTTATTGGATAAACAGGTGATACACATATTCATAAGATACTAATTTTTTTTTTTTTTTTAATGATGGAGTCCCGCTTTGTCATGCCCAGGCTGGAGTGCAGTGGTGAGAGCTCAGGTTCACTGCAACTTCCACCTCCTGGGTTCAAGTGATTCTCCTGCCTCAGCCTCCCGAGTAGCTGGGATTACAGGCACATTGGTCAGGCTGGTCTCAAACTCCTGACCTTAGGTGATCTGCCCACCTTGGCCTCCCAAAGTGCTGGAATTACAGGCGTGAGTCACCACGCCTGGCCAAGATACGGCTCCTTTTAACTTTTAGATTTTTTTTTTTTTTTTTTTTGAAGAGTCTCACTCTGTTGCCAGGCTGGAGTGCAGTGGAGCAATCTCGGTTCACTGCAACCTCCACCTCCCAGGTTCAAGCGATTCTCCTGCCTCAGCTTCCCAAGTAGCTAGGACTGCAGGCCCACGCCACCACGCCCAGCTAATTTTTGTATTTGTAGTAGAGACAGGGTTTCACTATGTTGGCCAGGATGGTCTTGATCTCTTGACCTTGTGATCCACCTGCCTTGGTCTCCCAAAGTGCTGGGATTACAGGTATGAGCCACCATGCCGGCCTAGATTTTTTTCTTTATTTAAAAAAATTTTTCTTAGAGATAGAGTCTCACCGTGTTGCCCAGGCTGATCTTGATCCTCCCGCCTCAGCCTCCCGAGTAGCTGGGCCGGCTCTTACTTCTAAACATAACTTATTTAGCTCTTGCTTCCAAGGTCACAAGCAATTCTACTTTCGGAGAATACTTTGAACTAAGGATAGCTGCTGAGTTTAAGTCACAACTGCACAGGTTAAAGAACATCAAGGCTGAATGTCAAGAGCTGTAATATGTGAGCTGCCTTTTGTAATCTTGAGCTATGTCAAGGTCAATGATATGAAACATGAATGCTTTTAAAAGTTAAAAAATAATCTTAAGGCCAGGTGCGGTGGCTCATACCTGTAATCCTAGCACTTTGAGAGGCTGAGGGGGGTGGATTGCCTGAGCTCAAGAGTTTGAGAACAGCCTCAGCAACACGGTGAAACCTTGTCTCTACTAAAATACAAAAAATTAGCTGGGCGTGGTGGCATGTGCCTGTAATCCCAGCTATGGGAGAGGCTGAGGCAGAAGAATTGCTTGAACCTGGGAGGTGGAGGTTGCAGTGAGCTGAGATCGCGCCACTGTACTCCAGCCTGGCGACAGAGCGAGACTCCATCTCAAAAAATAATAATAATCTTAAATATATTATGTGTTGACAGTGACATATTACATCCAGCGTACCCAAACATGAATCATTAATGATCTCCAGCTACACGGAATCTGCCTGGGCTTTTTGTTAGTTGTAGGGTAGTTTCGTGATTACATTCATTTACCTCAGTTGTTTCAGATCCCTTCCTCTTTTATGCTTCAACCTCTAAAATATGTTGCAACAGAAAGCAGAGAATGATCTAACAGGTTCATTTTAGGATCACAGATATCACCGAAGGAAATATTTAAATGCTACCCTTCCCTGCTCAAATGTGAGTCCTTATTCTGCAACAGACACCAGGGATGTGGAGAGGCAGTGGTTTAAAAGATAGCAAAGATATATTATGGTGTCACTTTTGTAAATGAAAACAGGCTGAATTCATATCACCCAGATTACGTTAATGATTGGCCTGGTATCCAAAGTGGAGGTTCCAAATTTGAACAGAGTATGTTCATGGGGAAACGGGCCTCACTGGGACCAAATGCTGACATAAAACTCAGAACTCACTAATCATCACTATAAACCCAGTTTTTCCAATCCCAGTTCCCAGTTCATGATACTCTGCCATGAATTTAAATGCAGATGAAAGATCTATTATTAATCTTATTCTCAATTTTTTTCTTTTTAGTCTTTCTTTACTTTTACAATCTTAATAGATTATGAAATAATTCCTATGGGTTTATAGAATACCTTTCTTAAGGAAGATACATGAAAGACAAAGAATTTAAAATGTAAATCAGGTTCATTAAAATACAACTCAGATGTTACCAGGTGCATAGTGAAAAAGTTTATTTATGACAGATTTGAAAACTCGGAAGAGATGACAAAGAATGCACAAAAGCATCACAAAACTGTTACATAATACAAAACACAAGAACTGAGCTATTTAAAGAAGCACAGCTCAGAATCATCAGTGTAATTGCAGTAACATACACCCAGTGCCACAGGGTGACAAAAATGGTATTTTAAAAGAAAAACCACTCAGCAGGACACAAGAATTAAGTAACAATTTGGTAAGAGCTCTTAGAAATCACAGATGTTGATAGCATTTCTCATGACAGGGGACATGTAAAACAAGCTGACCATAAAAAATGATTAGTTGGGATACTTTTGTATTTTAAAGGAAAAAGATAAAACAGTGACACAGTTTCTCTTCCAGACCCTTTTTGTAATGTCAGCAACAGTACATGATACAGAACAGTAAGGAAATAAGGTCTTTGTGGTTGCCAATTGCTTAAATCTTTACAAAGAAAACATGATCATCTTTCAGTCAACTGATTGATCTGAGTACATGGCACCAAAGAAAGCCCTTCAGAAATAGAAGCTAAATGGCATAAAGTAGTTTAGAAAATCTTCAAACACCTCCCTTTATTCCAATTATCCTTTTCCAAAGTCTGGCTTTCTTATAATCCATCACTTTGATTACAAAACAGCTCTCTTCTGGGAATTTCAAAACACTTCCCGTTATGTTAAGGGAAAATGGCTATGCCAGAGTCATGGGGTACAGGATTGCTTTCTCCAGACTTGACTTCTCTTTAACATGGCTAAATGGAAATAATTTAGCTTGGTTAAATGAAAGCTATTTCACTTAACGGGATAATCTCAGGAGACATGAGTGGAGTTTTTCATGTGGAATTTCTTAGTAAAATGTACTGTTTAGGATATAAGAGAAGGAATTAAGATAATGTTTTCCAGATGATTCTTGGCCTGATCCTAAGAATCAACAATAACAATCAATAGCAAGGAACATTACACATTCAACCCTGAGTGACGAAGAGAGTTCAGGAAGAGAGCCCCTTAAACTCTGAATTAAGGGCTCTTTGGTAATATCATATACTATAATATTTCAAACCAAAACTTCAAAATGGTTCATGATCCTATTTCAGAACTTTAGAAAATATACTTGTCCTCTGGAAGTAATTTCACATATATTATTTTACCCCCAGATAAGCCACAACTACCTGCTTAAAAAATTTTTTTTAAACTATGGAATTAAATAAACATGCATCTCTAGATTTCTAGGGCAACTTTTCATCATATCTTAGAATGAAGAGCCATGACATTAACTCTGGTCCACATACCTGGGGCCTAAAAGAAATCAGGTACATAAAATAGGAATCAGATCATGAGCCTCATTTCAAAGCCAGTGTCTTGCCTTTGGACTCAGTGTGTGAGGCATGCCTATTTGTAAATGAGCTCCACTATCACTGGCTTTAGTCTATAGTGTTTTCCTAGCTTAGAAATTTCTTACCTTAAGAATTCAAACAGGAGGGGCTTTGTTGGGC